AGTTGTGGCAACTAAACCGTTTTCGATAAACGAAGCACTCGCAGCGGAATCCAAGCTCAAGAAAAGCAGAGACACACCGGCGCCTTCCCCAGTATCGGCTGGTGAGTTACCTTAATTTTACAATAATATCTTAAAAGGTATTAAAAGTCGAGTAACTTTAAAAAGCAAGTAGTTAGAAATTTTAACGTACTATAATTTCGCCAATGCGCTCACCACTCAGCTTATGTTTGGTATTCAAATCAAAAATATTAATCTTAATTTGAAGAAAAGCGTGTACCTAAATAAGTACTTATTTGTTTTTTTTTCTCTCTCCAGAAACAAACACAAGGTTCTCCCTGAATAAGGCTCTAACTTCAGATCCTACACGCAAATCAAGAAAGTATAAAAGAGGTAAGCACCGCTCACAAAATTATGAACTCAGTAAGAAAATAACTTTAAATATCTACTCTTTAATGTATTTTGTAAAAACTCAAACATTTCTTAACTTCTGAAGTCCCTCAAAATATTTGTTAATTGAATACGTAATCTAAAAAAATATTTATCATATTTTCAGGTTCACTTCTCTTGGACAAGTCGCCGTTGATAAAATCAAGGAATATATTCCAAATCGGAAGCTCGAGACTTAAGGAATTGCTCAGTTCTTTGCACAAACGCAGAACTCCGTCAAAGAAACGAGAGATATACAAAGATGATAAAATCGACGAGAAATATTTCCCACTTTTTAAAAATTTGGGTTTGCTATTCGACAATCTGCTCGAGTCTGAGTCACGGGATTCCTACGAAGTTAGCAAACACAAACACAAGCGGTACAAATTCAAAGGTGACGGGAAGCGTGGAGTCGTATGCTCGTGCGCTGTCAAATCTGATTCCGACGCAGGAGAAACAAGATCGTATAAAAAGGCAGTTATTTCTGCCGAGGCTTTCGCCACTGAGGGGCCGACTGCTGCCGCCGCGGCAGCCGCTGATACTGCCACTGCTGACATCAGCGGTCTCGGACCGGATAAGAACATACCCTTATTACTTCCAAGAGATCCCTTTGGCGGTCGGGGAGACGATCATGGACACAGTGAGAGAAGCGGCCCCACACTTCACCGAAACGCTCAAAGAAATCTCGCCGGGGATATTAGAAATCGTAAACATCCTCCCCGAAACAGAAAATACAAAGCCGATGCAGAAAATGATGAAGAAAATCCCGACAGTCATACACGAGACGATGCAAGTGGCTCTGAATCAAGAGAACGAAGTCGAGGAGCTCCCGATGTTTCGAACGTTAGAACCGCTTCAAATGAGAAAAAACCCCAAAAAAGTAAAAAAGCCCACATTTTTGGAGGAACCTTCGAACTTCCAAGAAAAGTTCAACTCAAAGATAGAAGAAACGAGACTGAAAGCGAAGAATTTCTACCAAAATATATTCGAGGAATCAGAGGATTTGTATCCGAGAATAAAATCGATGATATCACAGAGTCCATACAATCCGAAGAAGATTATAAAGAAAACTTCGACGACGTCACTATCTCTAGCGCCGATGATAAACGAATCGCTAGCGGAAGTGGCGAACCTTCCACAGAAGCTCAAGAAATTCGTCCAGGACATGAAACAATGACATTCAAAAATAATTTAGACGATATTATTGATCTTGAGACTAAAAGAAACCCGAATATTAAAATGCCGTCTGTTACCATTATTGATGGATACAGTGTTGCCAGAGATAAAAATGGTCAGAATAAATTGTCAGAGAAAAGCATCCGCATTCATGGGTGATGTGAAATTGTGTTTTACTCACATTTATGCTTAGTTCAATAATTATAAGAAATAATAAATAGCATGTAAGTTACATTAAGTTTTAATAAAACGGTAAATAATCTTTTGTACAATAAAATTAACACTTATCGGCGTCCTTTCTTTCCCTTACTTTTGTTGCTAGCTTGGTGGGTAGTTTGTGGTTGCTGGTCAGCTGGTCTGGAATTTTTAATTAAATTAATATTAACTTCACTGTAGTTCAGTACTTGCATTATTAATTGTTGAATATTCCAAATCATAGAACAGAATTTTTACTTTTTGGTAGAACATTAGCTACCTCTCATAGCAATAGTCCAGCAATTTTGGGACATCCAGGTATGCTACATTCACTTATTAATACTCAGAAGTACAATAGATTTTCATAATATTCTTACTCATAAATTAACAACCAGCTTCATCAAGTCAAAAATTATTTACTTAAAATTAAAAAGAAAAGTCAATACCTATTCTGTCGGGTCTTCAATTTAGGAATTGATTCCCCAATAAATCTCATCACAGACTCCCTTGTTGGAAACTCTGGTTTGACCAGAGTACCGTCATCATTTTTGATCTGAACTCTAATCCTTCCCCTGAATAGCATTTCCTGGAATAGAAAAAAAATGGTTTATTATAAAGAAAAAATATATTATTATCAAAATATCCTTATCTTCTGCATTTTCATGGACACAAATAATTAATTGTTCTCAACACCTATGTGCAGAACAGAAGTTATCCTAGGCAAATACCCAATAGTTTTAAGGGAAGAGATCAGATGCAGTGTTCCCGTTTTTAGAGCAACCTTATTAATATGGTTTTATTGCGTTCTGTCCAAACTCCAATGAAAGAAAAAAAGAAAGAAAGAAAAGTATTTATTCGATGCAAGTACAAAATAAAATAACAAAACTGGAACACCCTAAAATTTATAAAAAATAATTCACCTTACTGCGCTCTCTTGGATACAACTTGTTCTCAACACCGACGTGCAGACCAGAAGCGACAAGTACGTCTCGAATCTCTTGGTGAGTGGGGTTCTCGACGCAGTATGTTTTTGGCAATTTGCGTCCCTCGGCAAGCGTCTTTTTGCTGTTTAAGTACGCTGGATATATGCAAATCCATCTGGAACGCAGAGAATATTGATGATATATTATATTGATACTTATTTTCATTTAAAATGTTTCACTTGAATGAGACTATTTACAAAAATGAACATAACATACCTTTCAACTTCACTGTGTTTTTTGTCTGGACTCCAGGAATTTATCATTGCAACTAAATACTGTTTAACTTGCAGTAATTAATAATAAACCAGATGGTGTGTATAATTTTTGCAGAAAATTGCAGAAATTAATGAAAACAAGAAAGTGGATTGATTGATTTGGTTATCCAAATGTCAAAACTGTCAAATTTGACAACAACACAGCGAGCCACATCACAATTTGACAAGTGCTGCGCTCATGCAATGGGACCTTAAGGTCGACGCACACCTATCAACTCAGAGAGGGATCGTACGTAACCGAACGGATGCCTCCGGTCACTCCGGTGTGATGGGATGGGTGGGAGTGGTGGTTGACGAGCGGTTAGCCAGCGCGGCGATTGGTGAGCCGTATTACCGTAATATCCGTGGCGTCAGTAATTAATCCGTAGCCGAGGCGGCCGCGCGCGAGGCGAAGATAATGGCGATACGATACGGTTACGATCCCTATCCGAATTGATAAGTGTGCTATGATCTATAAGTGACATATCCATCACGTGTGCAGCCGGCGCTTCACTACTCTCTGTCAGCTGATTTGACATTTGATTCTAACCTAAAAACTGTAAAGACAAACAGCAAAACACACATTACCGCGGTTATTTTAGTGTTTGTTAAAACTTAAAATTTGCTAGCCAAATATGAATTGCCTAGCTGTAAGCGACAACTTTTTAGCGATATCTAAAGGTCTTCACGTTGATTGCTACAGTACACAGCATAATTTCTTCAATGTTCCCTGCAAAAGTGAATCGCAAGAAAACGACCGGATTTCGGACATAGCTATTGCACCAGATGAAAAGCATTTAGCAATAATAACGTCAGTATCTAAGCAGCTGCTAGTATGCAATTTACCAGGCATGGAGACCACGATTGCTTTTACTCTTCCAAGAAGTGCCAGTAAAATAAGATTCACTGCTAATAACTCACATGTATTAGTCGCTGATAAAAGTGGCGACGTCTTAATTTACGATATTACTGATGAGGATTCTGGCACAAAGTTATTGGGCCATTTGAGCATACTCCTGGATGTTCTACAAACTAATGACGGGAAGTACATTATCTCAAGTGACAGAGATGAAAAGATTCGAGTATCATGTTTTCCAAACACCTACAATATACAAACCTATTGTTTAGGTCATAGGGAATTTGTTAATCACATTGAGATTTTACCTCATTCTGAAAAATATTTGACTAGTGCTTCTGGTGATGGAACAGTCAAATGCTGGGATTATGTGACTGGCGCACTTTGCCACAATATTAATGCCTATCTAGATGTAGACGATGTTGGATTAAAGGAACATTTTGCGAAAATAATGGATGAAGAAGGTGTGGAAGTCACTACACTTCCTATTGTCCACTACACAGCCACAGCGCTGGATGAAGACACTAGTGTTTTAGCCATTGCCATACACGGCTACAACAAATTGCTCATTTATTCGTTGGAAACAAGGAACAAGCAATTTCTTCATAAAAAGGAAGACAGTGTTATGTTGGAAAGATTCCCTGCTGCTATAAAATTTCATAAATCTTCACTATTTGTTTATGATGACGTGGATAACACTGTTTGTATCATAAAGATTGTTTGGATAAATAGTAAATTGAATTTTGAATGTGATAAGAAATTAACAATGTTTATCAATGTGAATGTTAATGGTGAGCTCAATTCGAGCATAGATGCGATCAAAGTGTTGTATAAGAGGAAATTTGATAATGTTCAAGAATATCAAGAGAGGAAAAAACAACGATTAGAGAAGGTTTCTCAATAATAAATGTAATGAATCTATAAATGGCTTTTTTATTGTAACTTCATTACATCCATTTAAATCAAACAGGTTTCCTTCCAAATAATGTTAAGGGAAGATTCTATTCCATTAATTTTAATATGTTTAAAAGATTATAAGTACCTAAATTAGGTAACATCTAAAAACTTGGAGGCAGGTAGGTATGTAAATGAAAGAGTATTTTCAACCAGGTAATTGTTTATTTGTTTTTACAATTCAAACAAGAAATATGAAATGTGCAGGTCTTATTTAGTTGTACAAAAATAAATGAAACCTAGGGTAAATAGGTTGTAATGCATCAACATTAATAAGCTAACAAGTTTATATTCTAAGCCAAGTTTATTATTTTATGCTAACAAAACAAACTAAAATCACAAATATCACAATTTTAACTAAACACAACAAGACAAGTTACAGTAACTAATTAGATTCTGATATTATAATACTTATTGCTTTGTCGAAGAGGAGCAATTTTATTAACCTGGCGAAGGGCTCAATAGGTCGTTAAATCTTAAGATATAATTTGTAAGTCTATAGGTATTAATACATAGTCAAGTGTCTATTTTTTACAATCGCCTTTATATCTAAATGCAATAAATACATAAGGATCATTTATTTATTTACCTAGATTTAAGCACATTAGCAAAGTTTCGAAGTTGCGATCCAAGGTTGTCAATTTCATTCAAAATGCTATCCACCTCATTCTTGAGATCCGATAAATCCGGTATGTTATTGCAGTCTGGCACGTTCAAGAGGGTTGTGAACACTTTGTCCCACAAGCCCACCTTCATGTACCTGGAAATAACAAATAACAGGGTTAAAATTATGTTTTAAATTAATTCATCTTGTATGCAACAAAATGAATTAAACGTTCTAAGCTATTTTTGTAGTAGTTTTTAATTCCATTGATAAAAGTAACAAAACTTTTATAAACCTATTTTAAAATATAAAAAGTTGTGAGGCAAGCTTCCTTAAATGGGACAAAAGCTGAAAATTGTATAAAACACTTACCTAGGCAATTTCTTGTCTATATTCCATTGCCCTAAGCGATTGGCTACTTTCATGTAACTTCCCATCAATATCACATGTATAGTGCCCGCAAGACAATACAAGTCAGTTTGGTAAGTCCATGGCTTGCCTTCCCTCATCTCTGTACATGTGAATCCTTCAGTGGCGATTAACTGGAAAAAGGAAATAATTAAGAGTTATTCAGTACTTTAAAGGTTGGCAGCTATATCTACACAAATACCTCAGAAATGCATGCTAAAAGCAGTTTAGTAAGTAATCAAAACGTTTCACACGCATAACGAAACGGCTAGATAGTGGTAAGCCTCTCACCAGCCGGGCTAGAATATACTTGCGCCGTGATATACTTTATCGGCATCAAAATGTATGGGCAAAATCCATAAAATAGCGTGATAACAGCTTATCGCGGCGCACATCCTAGGCCTACACATCCTAGTCAGGACATTTTAAAAGACTGGACTAAAATATACTCACTTCTCTAAATGTTGTTCCCTCTGGGAATAGTGACATGTCTATAGCACACCCTAAATCAATTAGCTGCAATGATGGAGTTCTCCATTCTTGTGTGGGTCTGTAATATAAAATCACATAGTAATTATCTGCTTTTGACCAACTGATAAAAATATTTTAATAACTATGAAAATTAATAAGTTCTCATTTGATTTTAATAATATTCTTTTGTAAGAAATATCTGTGTCAAGTTTGTAAGGGCTATAAAATTTGGTTTAAGTAGTTCCTCTCTGAGAACTTAAAACAGAAAATCTCATAACTCAGAAAGAAATTATACTTACATTTTCATCAATAAAAAGTTGTCTGGCTTGATATCAGCATGGATAATTTGAGCTTTGTGGAGATAATGGACAATGGACAGCATCTCGGAAGTCAGTAAAATGACTATAAATTCATTTATACATTTTGAGGTAGCAATTTTAACTTTGTTTGCAACATCTAGTAAAGATCCATACTTAGAATATTCTGATACAAAAAGACTCGCATTTTCACCTAAGAAGGCAGTGGTAATGTCCATGTACCCAGGAAGCTGAAATATAAAACAAATCTAAGTTAGATGCTTATTTGTAGGTATATTAATATTATAAAGATTGTGTGAATATGAAACTTACCATAAATGGATCCTTTATTCTCGCCTTGATTTCTTGACAAATATAGAATTCCCATGGACGACTAGGTTTTTGATATTTCACAGCTACAGATTTATTACTGTGGACGTCAAGGCACAAAAATACTGCACCATAGTTTCCCTTTCCAAGTTGTTTTTCAATTGAAAACCTGTTGTTTCCAATGCTAACCATACTGGCAGGCTGCAACTTAGGACAAGATCTCACTTCTATGTACCCGTCGGCGTGTGTTTTATTGGGGAATTTGACATATTCTAACAGAGATGAGATTATTTTTTTATTAAATGGATCTATAACTGTTGGGAAATCAATATCCGCTGGTCTAGGTATGTCACTAGTTTCTACTAAAGATATAGAATGCGTAGATTTAAAAGCCGCACATTCCATAGAGTTCTCACTATCTACATCCATGCCATAGCCATCAGACTGGAAGTCTGACTGTCTGGAGTACACTGAAGAGATCCTGCTTTCTTTACTCACAGAATCTCTACTATCCTCCGACTGAAAATCGCCTCTGTGCTCAAAATCTAGTTGTCTCTTGGATATATCTTTTTGTTTCTCTGGGATGCTATAAGCAACCTTGGCAGATTGGATAGGTGTCCCAGTCTGAGCTGTCATTCCATCTTTGCTATCAGAATCTGAAAGACCTGATGAAGGTGGTATTTGAGCTTGTTCTGGACTTGACACATACAGATTTTTATGCATCTTTTGAGAAATGCTTGGACTGTTGGTGAATTTAGGAGTATTTGCATTATCCTTTGGTTCGTTTCTGTTAGAGATAAAGTTGAGGAACTGGTTCGAAAATCCAATATCAGGCGAATTTTGGCCTAACTTTACGTTAGGCTGGTCATGTCTTATGTTTCGCAAAGCTGAAGTCGGACTTTTATGCGGACCGGCATTTTTAGTCGGAGGTGTCAACTTTTGTTCAGCTTCTGGTTTGGCATGTGTTTCAGACTTATGTTGTGGTTCTGTGCCTTCGCTAGGCATACTGATATTATGAGCAGCAGCATTCTGATAGCTGTTGTGCTGAGGTTGTTGAGGACTTTGGTAAATTTGAAATGACTGGTTATTCTGCATTGCATATGCAGCTTGATTATCAGGCATTGGCTTTGGAGGTTGTCTGTATGGGCTCTGCATTGCACTATAATTTTGGTTGCTAGAGTGTGTGGGGTTTTGATACATATTGGCATTATTGTACTGATTATGCATGTTGGGATAATTTTGCTGGTTGTAACTTTGATTTTGCGCAGCAGGCGCCGGACTAGGCCTTTGGTAGTATTGATTATTTTGTTGATATTGTGCCTGATGTGGTGGGCTTTGGAAAACGGCAGGATTTTGATGCTGATTGGCATAAATATGCTGCCTATCTGGTTGATTTGGATAATGATATTCCTGTCGTCCCGCGTACGACTGTTGTGGGCTCATAACTGGGTGACCTGGACTGTGGTAACCCACTTGGTTAGAGTAAGTCGGGCTTTGGAATCCAGGCGGAACAGAAGGACTCATTGCATGAGGACTTTGCATGCCTGGGTGTTGGGGACTGTTGTAGGCATTTGGGCCGGGGCTAGCATAACCTTGCTGCTGTTGGTTCATCATCTGGTTGCTAGGGTATCCCTGCTGATAGCCTTGTTGGTAATTTTGTTGATAATGATTGGGCATCGATCTCTGTGGCGAGTATCCATTGTATCCCGAGGGCATAGGCTTTTGGTATTGGTGGTCGTGGGAGAGATAAGGCACGGCTGTAGGCGCGGCGGGAGTTTTATTTTCCGGTTGCTCGCGTTTTTGGGGATAGACTCTAGCAAATTGACCACTAGGCAATCGCGGTTGAGTAGAAAACGAGCTTCTCTTAGAAGTCGTGGGTTGCTGTGACGGATCATTGTGATTATTATACATTGAATCGTAGTTTGTCGTGTACCCAGTGAAGTTAGTTCTTGTTGATTGTCCAGAGGAACTTGATCCCGATTTACTGAAATAGAATATTTAAGTTGCATGTAACATAATGAAATACATCACTTTAACTAACTAACAGTATACAAAATAATGCAAGAACTCATTTACTAACATTATTTGACACCAGACTGAGAATTCATGAGTAATATAGGGATAAATAAAAATTATAATAAAAATAAACTTTTTTAAAAACAAGCTTTTATTCTGAATTTCGAAAGTTTGTATCGCGCATGGAATTTATTCCTCTTTTTCTCTGTTTGCGCTACAAGCTTTCGAAATTCAGAATAAAAGCTTGTTTTTAAAAAAGTTTATTTTTATTATAATTTTATTTTACACTTTTTAGTTATATCTTAATCTCAGGACCCTGGACGTTATCTAACACTAAAGTGCTCGAAAAGACAAATCCAACGAACCCAAACTCGATGAGTTTCCGCCGTTTTGTTTAGGAGTTCCTATGGCCACCTCCCGACTCCATCATCAGACCAGCTCAATGGTACCATAATATTGCATTGTCATTGGACTTACATATGTATGCAAAATTTTAGCTCAATAGGAAACCGGGAAGTGGGTCAATTTTAAGTTGCAAGATTTGACGACAGACACCAGACATGTGAAAGTAATAAAAAGCTTGTAAAAAGTACCAACCTATTAAATTCTCTAGTAGCTTCCATGATCACCGACAGACCACCACCTTGGTTGTCAACTGTGGCATGCTGATCAGGCCCAAGCTGTCTCGAATTGTCATCCTTCTTCATAGCACTGGCATCTACATGTTCAATCACACTCTCATCTATGCTAAATTTGGGCACAGAAGGATATTTTGACTGATCAATGTGGCTGGCTGGCTTCTTAAACTGGGACATGTTTGGAGTGCTTGCATCCTTTATGTTGAAATTAAACACTTGGGTGCAAGATGGCTCTTCATAGTATGCTGTCCTATTAACCTAGCAACAAAAATAAATAATTTAGAAAAAAATATACTGATAATATCCATTTCAAAAAATCTAAAGAATTTAAATGTTCGTCATAAAAATTGGGTAATATCAAGATTGTTAGTGAAAGTAACAAACATTAACCAGTGAAAACATTGGCTTTAAGATTTACATAAAAATACTTAAATAATATGATATGGTACGATTATCATGTCTGAAACAAACAGAGATAACAGATAAAAGAAATTGTTTATTACATTTTGTTGAGGTGCTGCCACTGGAACAGTGAACTTGTTGGCGTTTTCCTTGTCCTCAGGCAGAGTTCTCACATCTGGTATTTCTGGTTTCTTCTTGGTGTGCATGGCCATAGTGATAGAGCGATCCTCATGAATGTCAAAGTTTGGAACTTCAAACTGTTGTACAACTGGCTGAACCATTGATGGCTCTGTGAAATATTAAAAAGTAGTAATTAGGCTCTGTTAAAAATGGTCTAATTCTTGGCTGAAATAGATACTCTATACAACACAGCAGAGGAAATATTTGACATAATTGAAAAGTGAAATGCTTACCATTATCATTGAATAAGTTTCTAAGCTCCCATCTCGCTTCCTTAGTGTTAACAGTTACAGAGTCACCAAGGAGGTTGCCCATCAGACTCCTGTTAAATTCCTCCATCAAATTATTTTTGCCATAGTTACCAGCAGCATTCTCGTTACCATAATGGTCAAGTCTGCCTGCTTGGTTTTCTTTGTCAGAACTGTGTTGCTTCTGACTGTCATCATGTTTTTTGACACTGAGTTCACTGAATTCTTTTGAATCCAAATTGACCAGAACCTTTGGCTCACCAGGAGAATGCATATTTGTAACTTTCGTAATATTTTGCAAGGTTGGCATAGTCAAAGGCATCAATTGTCCTAAATGATCCTGCTCAGTGTCTAAAGCACAATTGGCCAAGGTTTCCAGAGCACTACACTGGGCCAGTGTTTCGTTTATGTTATTATAATTTTGCTCAACTTTCACTTGAGGAGACATTTCAGTCTTTACTGTTCTAACAAGGTTGTATTTTCTAGAACGAATTTCTTCTAAACTATATTCTTGATCATCAACATAAACCTGCAAAGAATTAAAGTAGAATAATCTTTTGCTCCAACAAACATTGAAAAAGTAAGAAAATATTAATTTTGTAAATAATTACCTGGGATTTATTGTAACAGGGTATTTTGGTCGAGTCTGGGGGATCAGGTACACATAGAGGCACATTAAATGACAAATCTTCAGCACAGTATGCCATATGATTCGCTGGAAGCCGCAGGACATCATCTTCATCTTCATATGCTGTTTTGTATAAAAAGAATTCACATTAGGAGTATAAAGACTTAATTTTTTTCCTGAAGACATGAAATAAATTGTACTGCTAATACTCAAAGTAGTATGCAAGATTGTTGAATAAATGTTGCTACTTACGAGTGAATGGCAGTGGTTGATGAGGTACTAGATTTGTATGCACCATTTTAGTCTTAGGATTAGTCCATATTCCAACTTCCTTTTCATTCTCAACATTACAGGCTTGCACCAGTGAAGCAGGCCCAGCATTTTCAGCAACAGGTATTCCTGAATGTGAGGTTGATGGAGCATCCTAAAATAATGATAAATATGGAATTGAACATTTTACCAGCCCATTAATAAGTTATTTACAAAAATAGGTTTCATAAAAAAGATGCTCATATTTTATTTAATTGAATAACAAACTAATACATAGGGCTATCGTAGATTTCGTACCTAAGCAACTAAAATTATTTTCTATGGTGTTATGTAATGTTTTTCAAGTATATTTAAAAGATAAAAGTAGCTAATTATTTATTGGATACCTACCTCAAAAACATTGACCATAACATTTGATTGTGGCATTCTATTGTCGAAATGATTAGGCTGTTGTCTCACAACACCGGGCATATTACTCCGGACGCTTTCACCGACCCTTTGGACGGGCACATTGGCAATATTGCGCCTTTTGAATGACTTAAGTGAAGTCAACGCCATTCTGGTCTCAGCCAAAGCTGAAGCTGCCTTCCTTTTAGTTGGAGAATCATCATGAAGCATTCTTTGGGCAAAAAATAATTGGAAGTTCCTGAAAGTAAAGTGTAATTAGAGAAAATTCAATCCGATTTATGATATGTAACAACCCCGACAGGCTACATGTACTAAAATAGCAGACTTGATGAAAAAGATTAATTATTTTTAAATATACCTTGGCATTAAACCAAATTAATGAAACAAGAAACACTAATAAAATATACTAGTTCATAAATTAGTCTATGAGATTATTAGCTAATGATACAATTAACTAAGCATAATTCACTAAGTAGATGATGAAACTTGTTAATTATGAATGATGCGTACCTCATTGAGACATTTACAGCAATGGTACAAAAATTATCATATTTTTCATATTGAAATTGAATGAGGATCAGTACTGTTGTAGAAAATTCAATAAAACTAGTATCTACGTTAATCTTTAACCTCGTAAGACCGAAGAGTAAATTTTGTCAACTTCTAAGTATCGCCGAATGTGCTTTCAGAAGAACGAATAATTTGAAGTCGTAAACGCCGAGCACTTCNTCATTGATGATAAATTAACACAAACCCATTTTATGAAGCTCATTATTGTTTTATAAAAACCAAAACACACTATTTATTATTTATTACCAATTTATTTTCATTATTCTTTATTTTAGTTTGCTTTGAACTTGAAGGTGTATTATAACAAGGTTTGACAATCATATTATTTTTGATTTGGGAAAATGGGAAATAATATTTGTTATATTTATCACTATCTATCAATTTAAATGGCAAAAATAAATAAAGAAATCTTATTAAATGAGAATATATCAAAAATAGGGCACAAATCAATTGTAATAAAATCCATGACAACTAGTATGTGGATATTGATATTAGAGAACTGTTTCTGAAAACCAACACAATTATGATGAAGAAGTAAAAGCAAAACACCCCACTCACATATGAGCCTGTTCCAATTCATCCAAAGGCTGGGCCTTGGCTTGCAGCCCCAGCATGTACACCTGGTTAGCCTTCTTGTAATCACCAGATTCCTCACAATAGCAAGCCCAAGCTCTATAGAACTCGGAGCATTCCACACCAATCCCAGTATTATACAACCTCTGGTATATCTCCAGAGGATTCGAAAGGCAATCAACCTAAAATAACAATTTGATTTTATGAATCAACATCAAAATTGATGATTGAAATGAGTAAATTCATTTTCTGGTAGAAAAACAGTGTAATCTCAACTTACATATTTAATCCATAGTTTTACAAGCCTTCTGTCTTGAAAATATCTTTCATCCTTCTCAAATAATTGCAAGCAGTCTTTGATAAGTTTATCTATATTACCCTCATGCCCATGTTTAGGAAAAGACTGCTCAACCCATTGGATATAGTTGAACCATGGGTCTAGAGGGTCAGGGCCCTGATAGTGCCTTATTGCCGCTTCGTGCTCCCTGCAAAAGAGGTCGTAGTGTCACTCACTGTAATACGTGACTGATTTCATAATTTGGATGCCTGTTTCGAAAGGACCATTTGAAATGTCTCGACTTAAATAAACAAGGAGGAATAAGAGTAAAATACGCCTTTTTCGACGCTTTATATTACAAAGAACGTAACCACCCGCATAATAAACATCTGAGAACATTAAAAAACTTACTCTTTTTGCTGCTGCAGCTGTTTTTGGGCATCAACATCCGACTGAGCTTGTAGAGCAGTACCCAACTGCATGAGGTTTCTGCCACCTCTAAGGGGCTGGATATTTTCTTTACTAACGTCGATGTCCATCGTCGAATTAAAATAATGCCGATTTATCACAGCATGAGGAATAAACACGAGTCACTTGGTCACAAAATAAGCACTCTCTGAAAGCTGGTTATCCGGCTCCAAATAAGAACTTGAATGTCCTTTTCCATGAAAACGAATACACTAAGCAGTAAGAAATAATTTACCGTCGTGTAATTACAAAAAAATAATGTTTTACAGGTTTCAAAATCTAAAAAATTGGTGTCTTCCAACTGAAGCACCAAAGACTAACCTGAAACTGACAAAAGCTATAGATTTCCTTGTCTATGATAAAATTCAAAATTTTCAAACGGTCGTTGGTAAACTTGGCGCTTGGTAAAAAAAATACTGCAGTAGATTCAATTTAGATTCTACTTTATTTTGATTTGATTTTATTTGGTATGTGATTGTAGAAAACTCAAGCAAAGTCCCAAGCAGAAAAAACCACGAAAGGTCACGAAAAAAGAAAAAAAAAATCCCGTTTTTGTCACTCCAAAATTCCAAATGACTAAAAAAATATTGTAAAACCAGAAGAAAAATGCTTTGATAAATACTGAAGCGTAAGCGGTTGTTTCTACTATTCAATTACATTGCCACAAATCTTGGCAATCTTCCAAAAGTGTTATAAATTGGGTATCAATTGAATATTGATTACAACACTACATAATGTACACAACACTATCTCGGTATCTTGGCTATAACTTGGCCAATGATATCAATGTTGTCTATGCCTTTTAATATTTATTTGCCCGTTTATTGCACTGGCACTGACAGTCGTTCAAATAAACTGACATTCAACTTGTCACATTTTGTCAATCAATCTGTCACTTTTCATGTTTGATCACAATTTTGTGAAAATAATTTTAATTTTTATATCAATAAAAACTATTCGAATTGAAATAGAAGTGAGTGTTTAATAAAATTAATCATGTCTAGTTTACGCATGCAAATCGATAAGAAGAAAGCTCAGGAAGAAATGCGTAAATTAATGGCTGAACGCCGTAAAAAGGATCAGAAACCTGTTAAAATTGACAACCCACTTGCAAAGTACAATAATGCAGGGCAACTCATGTGCGTGCTTTGCTCATCAGTAGTCAGATCAGAACAAGTGTGGCCAGTTCATATAAACAGTAAACAACACCGTGAAAATGTGAATAAAGCAAAACAACTCAAAGAGTTAACCAACAACTTTACTGTTGGAAAACTAAAACATAAGAGTTCCAGCCCACCAAAAGATGCTCCAGAAGAGAAAAAGATAAAGGGTATATTAAAAAATGCACCTCCACCGAAGCCAGTGGTTGTAGAAAAGCCTAAAAACAATGTCCCTCAAATTGTCACATTTCACAATGAAGAAATTAAAAGGAAACCATTAAATCCTGCTATTCTAGCAGCTATTGCTAAAGGTATACACCACAATGCATTAATTTGAGTTAAAACTTTGAAACATTGTTTAATAAATTCATTTATTTCTTTTTAGATGAGCAGTCTTCATCTAGTAAACAAGAACAAGACTCAAAAACACAACCAATTGTTGAACAGCCTATTCCTGAAGGATTTTTTGATGATCCAATACAAGATGCTAAAGTAAGTTGTTAATTTTTTCGGTTGTTATAATGGTTATAAAAGACAGATTTCAGTATCACAAACTTGAATATATTTTGATTTGATAACATAATAAATTTACTTAAACTTAACAATAATTAAATGCACCAAAAACATTCCCAAGTATTATTCTCAATCTTTTACTCTTTTGTTTTGTTCCTTAGCCCAAGTTTTTACTTATTTTCATAGAGTTCTTCAAAGGCTTCATGAATATATTCAATCATATTAGATGCTAGCATGCTCCGGCCCTTCACTTTGAATGCCTTTTCATTGCACATTCTAACCATACGTGATGCTGCATAGCAAGACAGTGACGCTGCAGCCAGATCTTTATTCTCTGTTTTAATGTTGATATTATCAATGTTATCTAACATCCAATGTAAAAAAGTAGCAATAGATCCCGATAGTAAGTCACCCTGCCCACCACATCGTCGACCAGACCCTCCCAAGTTCGATTTCCATTGAACTTCAGGATAAACACTAAAAACTTCATCTATAGCACCCTTCTTCATAACCACTACATTTCTTCCTAACTGGGTCAAACCAGTTTGCCCATTCACTTTATTGCACAGTCTTTCAAACTCAATTTTATTTGGAGTCAGTATCACAGGGGATGAGAACCCCTTTATCAAGTCAGGCTTTTCTGTTATTAGAAATAGACCATCAGCATCTATTACTAAAGGTATTTTCTTTTCTTTGATTGTGTTTATCATTTCTGTTACTACTTGAAATGTAGTTGACTCTCTTCCTAACCCTGGTCCTATTACTATAGCATGTAACCTATCAAGCCATGGTGATATTTTCTGTACAGCATCTGTTTCATCCAGTAAAGGGTGAACTATCAACTCAGGACTGTAGGATTTTATGACAGTAGCAGCTGATTTAGTGCAAAATATGTGCGCTAGGTCTGCTCCGACCTGTAAATAACAAGTTTAAAGTTTACTGCAATGTACCTAAGCTTAAACTATTTTTTACTTTTGCCACAAAATCGGACTGTATGAAACAGGCTAACAAACTTTGAGGGCGCTGATTCCCGCAAAGTAAGGAGCTCCTGTATATTCTAGAGAGCCCCCAACTATTCCAATCCGACCTGCTTGACCTTTGTGTTTCGAATCGTCTAAAGGCGGTATGCACGCCTTTATTGACTGTATCGCACAAGTTTGATCCATCTTAGTCCGCTGTATTATTTGTAATGCCTTATTCTTTCCCGGGATCCTAGCTATATTTCTTGTTAATCCAAGAAACATTTGGTTTACGCCTAACAACAAAAAATCCTTATCAACAACCTGCAACAACTATCACTTCATTACTTGCTCAGTGTATCACTTGGCCACCCAGAGCCATAGACAAGCTTATTTTGACATTTTGTTTTCGTCTGTAGATTTTTAGATATAGCAAAGGAAAAAAACTATACAGATAAAAGTAGTCACACACTAGACATAGTGTGCGACTACTATAGAGTTCCACACCTCTTGACAACATTTTCGTCTTTTTACAGGTCAGAAATATTGAATACAAAGATCCTGTCGAAGAGGAATGGGAAAAGTTTCGTAAAGAGATAAAAGAAGAAGCAACTGCTTCTGCTGAAATCATAGCAGGTGAACAAGAAGAAGCTACAACTGAGCGACAGATTGATGAAATTGATGAACAGATCAGGAACTGGTCAAGGTATTATAAACTATTAATTACTTACATTTACTAAATAGGAATTCATGAAACATTGAAAACGTTAAACTACTCTATTAAGATGGTTTACATTCCGTTGTATTGTGTGTTATTTCAGGGTTTTGGACTTGGAATTAAAAAAAGAAGAAACAAAGAAAAATACTCAAGACATAGAACAAATGGATGAAGATGAACACAATGACTCAGAAAATGAAGAAGATATTGATGAATTTCTGGACTGGCGGGCAAAAAAGTCATATTCATAATCAATATGAACTTCTATGAATTATATCATTTTAATAGTTTGTTAATCTTGTCTTTTTTTTTTTAATTTTTAGACGGTAACATAACTAAGCTGGGTTAAAATTTTTTAAATTTTTGAGCTTTGAGCTTCGCTGATGTCATCGTGATATTGGCATTTTAATTAAGACCACAATAAGATTACGAATTCGCCACCCGCCACGGCATAGTACAAATACTCGAGTATTCTCTGTCTACGGAACACACGCACTGTGTGTGGCGTACTCACCACTTTTTCCAAAAATCATCACATGTATACAAGATGGAAAGAAGGACCTCCACAGCTAAACATAGACCTCCCCCAATGCTTTCCATGTTGATTGAGCGTCTAGCGCTTCCCCGCTACCTTTACGATGTCGTCGGTCCACCTTGCAGAACTGACGGCCGATGGGGCAGCAAGGTTCTGGAATGGAGGTTGCGTACCGGAAAACGCAGCGTGGGTCGTCCACCTACAACCTTAAAGCTAAGAAACAATTTAAAACACGTTTGGCTGTATATTTAGATATTCCTTTGCGCAGAAAAATGCGGCGATGACTATCATTTTTGATTTTGACAGCTTCATTTTGACATTTATCCAGAATATTTTTGTTGTTTTGTTCAGAAGTGCCGGTTGCAAGTTTTTCAAAGTATTTTGGAGTTCCTGAATTAATTACTAAGTCATTTTAATTGACTACTTTAATATACCAAGCTCCTGATAATTTTCAGTTTAAAGGAACTGTTTGAAACTTCACAATGACGACGCAAGACACTGAACAATATCGGGTATTTCTAAGACAATTACAAAGAGAGGAACATAGACCAACTGCTCTGAATGATATCAAAAACTTATTTACCTATAAACCAGCCAGTGAAGCGACAACAACAATAAAAGATGTTGGAATTTCGAAAATTGTCGAATGCCTGAATGTGCCAGACAAGTAGGTAACATAAAATAATTTGTTTGTGCACTACAATAAACTAATAATATTTTTATGTTGATTGTGGAATAATTAACTTTCAGGACACAGGTTGATCTGACTTGTGAAGTTTTAAAAGTCTGCTTTGACAAATTTGAACCTGGGGAGGTTGTGAAGAATTATACAAGTCATGTTATGTATTTATTGCGGCATGAAAAGAGCTGTGTCCGAAAACTGGCAACTGATGAGGTAGCCAATGAATAGTGTTGTTGTTTTGTTTATATTTCTGATAACAAAAACATTTGTATAAATGAGTATTTCAATTTCTAATGGTTAATTAAATTTCTAGGTCTACAAAGCAGTTGCACAGGATCAAAATCTGCTGCCTATCCCACAATACATTGATGTGTTTGTAGCTGTTGCCCAGCTTGTCATTGATACAGATATTGGTGTAGCTAACAAAGCTATTCTGATCACATCTAATTTACCATCAGCGGCATATCCAAAAGTGTTGGAGGAGATGAAGATTGCGTTAGAATACAATGCTAGCAGTAAATGCAATGCCTATGAGGTAGCTGGAAATGTTTGATTCATTTAACCATGATCTTAGTGTTTATTTCTTTAAGATTTATTTCACTAGGCATTCCTAATATGATTTTCAGGTGGTTGTGAACATTTCTTCAAAGTCATATGAACTGTGCAAGTTATGTAACGATCAAGGATATATCGATCACATGCTATCTGAACTCCAGTCAGATGATGTTTTGTATCAGTTGAATATACTGGAGTTATTATCAAGACTGGCGATTCAACCACATGGGATTGGTTACCTTGTAAAGCAAGGTGCCTTGAAGAAAATTTCAGATTTAGTTGTTGAACTGCCAAATAATCCACTATGTGGTTTACTCACACCTGGTAAATGTTATTTTGATATACCATATACAGTCTAATTTTTTAGAAATCAGCAGAAATGTCATCAAATATGGCCAACTGACATAAAAATATTTTTAGTCTGTGAACTAGTGATGCGACAAAACCTCTCGTTAATCGCGAAGTGAAATGTTGTAGTACTTGCGTATCATCGCCGGGTGATCGTCAAAATACTAAAAATATGCAACAAAGTCGCAACATTGAATGTGAACTGATTATGAAATTTTCGAGAACAGGAAACAAACTGTATGTACAGATGTAATCAAAAAGCACACTGGACAGTAAAACAATCAATGATAGGTATCCGTAAAGTTATTAAACTTCTGTTGCTTGCTGTTGCTTGCTGCGTGATTGGTGGATTTTGACATATCTGTCAATGTCATGTCAAAAATAACCAATCATGCAGCATTTGGACCTCGCGTCTACGTATTGCCATCTGGCGGATTTTTCAATCGCGAAAACCCTCATTGAAAGAAGTTTTTTATTTTCTTAAAAATAAACAATGGAACAATACGTAAGCATAATTGCATAAAAAAGTAAAATAATTTCGTTTAAATAAAACCGACTAAAAATTAAACTGACTCCGAAAAAGTAAACACTAAAAGTAGAAAAATAAATTTACGTTATCTCCAATATTGTCGAAGTTATCGCTGGAAAACTAAGCAAAGTATCGTATATTTTTTATTTAAAATTAATCAGTAATCGGAATAAGTGAATACTTAAAATAATATCGATTAAATTTACAGATTATTGTCTATGACTCACAGGTTACGGCACTGATGTGTCAGAGACAAGTCATAGACAATATGGAGATAACACATGATTTTAAACGTCAAGTCAATTTGACAATGTCACAAATTTTCATCGTCCACGTATTTTGCTAAAATAATTTGTTTCAAAGATTGATTTCAAACTTGTATAAACGTGAAAATAAAGTTGGTTTCATGGGCTTGTTAAATAGTGTGTATGATATTATGAACACGTAAGTGATTATGGTGTAATTGTGTATGAAAGTGTTTGTTTACATCTCTGCTGGATTCTAAAAAATCAAGGTATACCTATTTATACATAAAAAATGATGATGATGAAAATTATTAAAACATTTTTGTTCATTCAGGTTACATAAAATTTGTTGGATCAATTGCACATTGCTATCCAAAGGAAATACTTGATAAGTACCCTATATTGGTGAACTTAATGTTTGAAACATTCGAGTCAGGAGACCCAACCTTACTGCCTGTTGCTTTGGACACATTGGGATTTATTGGAACTACCATTGAAGGGAAGCTCTGTTTGGCAGCTTTGGGTATGTTTTTAATCTTTGGCTGCAGTCCAAAATACATATTCCGAGTAGTTTATAATAATATACCTTCAATAACTACTTACATAATTTTCTAAAAAAAACTTATTTTTATAACAGGTAGCAAGTATATCCTTGCTGTTGAAAAAGTGGGACAAATTATCAGAAACAGTGCAACAGAAATTAAGAGCCGAGCACTGAATTGTTTTGCTAACTTGATTTGTGTTGATAAAGATCCTAGTGTACCAAGAGGTGGTCCTGTTGACCATAGAGTAACTCTGATGACAAGGGAATGGTTTAGAAGTCTGAGCTCCAGCCCGCCATCCATGGAGACTTTGTTTGAGATCTGCAAAAATCCTTTCCCTGAAATAAGGTTGGCCGGTTTAGCCTTGCTAGATGCAGTGTGTCAACATCAATGGGGCGAAGAATTAGTTGCAAGAACAGCAGGTACCTTTTAACTGTTTACTCAATGCAAAATTTATAAATCTATTATTTTATTACTAACATTTTATTTTTACAGGTTTTGTTGAGTATCTTCTGGATCGCTCCAATGATGCCACAAAGGAATCTAAGGAAGCAAAATATGATATTATTAAAAGATTGGCAAATTCAATGGCATTTGATGCAAGTATTATTACAAGACTTCAAACGCATGTGGAACAAGGACCATTTTACTCTGAAAGTTCATTAGAAGTGGCCATGGAAGAAGGCGATTAGGTTTTTAACAAATATTTATTTGAAAGCTAATATTTCTACTGTTTTCTTCTTATGTTAAACATTGAAGATAGACTGAGTCATAATAAAATGTTAATTCAAAATTTTCATAATGAAATAAATAATATTACATTTTGTAACAACTATTGAAATTAGTTTTCTTCTTATAATTTCATTTTACTCTAAAAGTGCATGGTAGTGGCCATGGTAGAGAAGGCAAATAAAAATAATCTATGTTTTACACAAATATTTATTTGAAAGTTTTACAAATTTCATACAGTTTTGTTTTATAATGTTTAGTAAACATTGATGAATTGATGACACACTAAATTTAAAATTAAATAAATATTACAGTTTTGTACAAATTATTGAAATTTATTTCTTCCTTTTACTTTTGGTTTCTGTCTTAGGCGCTGCCTTTCTCTTTGTTGCTTTTTTGTCACCACCATATTTAGCTGCTAAATCATCAATAAAGGAATCCATTTGTTGGGCTCTGGATTGTTGTTTTTGTTTTATCATTAGCTCTAAGCTATTATTCTCTGTAAATAAACAAATTAAGTTACATTAAAATAACACTAAGTAACTATGAACAGTTAATTTAAAAGTACCATCAAATGATTTATCCTTACCTGATCCTAATCCTAATTCATTTTTCAGTTCTTCAGCTTCCTTAGCTTCACGATTCTCTTTGGCCCAACGACGCTTCCTCTTCCTGGCTGGTTCATTTGTGAATATTTTATACGGTGGTATTTCACCATTTTCGATCATTCCCTAAAACAATAGACAAAATTTATACATATTTAAAAAAATATTGGTACAAAAGGTTGGTAGCAATTGTTGCCAAAATTGAAAACTTACACTTAATATTCCTCTTATCCTTGATTCTTGATCTGACCGAGCAAACTGCACTTGATCACAGATATAGTCCATATCTCCTTTACCAGATAAATAAGCAACTTTGAGATCATTCTTTTCCTGTTCAGATCCTAAAAGTGGCATACCATTAATAACATTAGAATTTTCATAATTACAAATAGACTAAGGGAGGAGACCTTACCAACATATTCCTTCTCATAGGCCTTGATATCCTCATCAGTTATTTTCTTGAATAACATCCTCCAGTAAATAGTCCAGTCTCTATCCACAATAACATTGTAGTCATCATCATCAACACTTTTTGTCTCATCATATAGGGCCCTTTTGTTTGGATCACTGAGAATAGTGTGAATGCTGCCAAGTACTTTGAATTTTTCTGTAGCTTCAAGTTTTTCATTTTCATCTACACGATCTGGGTGCACTTTTAAGGATAGCTTGTGGTAAGCTTTTTTAACTAAAATAGAAAATGTTCAGGTAAGTATAAAATGAAAATATTAGGACCAGTTTTTAGCTTGTTCTAATTTCGCCAGATTAACTACCACCATCCTATTTATCAAAGTGCCGCAGTTACAAGCATTGTTGTTATTGTAAGCAGTTGGAGGTAGAATAGCCCTTTTTTTGTGGTTGAGTAGGTATTCCCGGTAACGCTCGCTTCAGCCTGGTAATCACTTTCAAATTCAAATTGTTTATTTGCTTTCCATCAGAGATGCTGTCTAAAAGCTTCTTTGTTGTGGGTAAATAAAGAGAATAGGTATTAAAACCTCCCTTACCTTCCTTGTCGGTAGCCTTTTCTGTTATTCCCAGGACTTCGTAAAGATTACTAGTTTTAAAATACTTTTCACATAATTCAATGAGGCCCATTTTAGTAATTATTTATTGTTATTTACACAAAATTATTTAGATTTCCAAGCCAGTTTTACGCGCCAAAGCTCTCGACTGTTTTTTGACAGAAAACCGACTGACATTGACATTAGTTATTTTTTAAAGTTTTACGGCTTCGGATTCCGTCCATACAGCCCAATATTGACATTAAGGTCACACCATAGACTAGAGAGAGTATGGAGTAAAACTGTCTGACTAACTGAGTATAATAGAGGGCGCTGCTTGAAGGAGAGGTGGTGCCACTGTCTATCTATACTCAACATCAAATAAACCGCACCTTCCGCGACGCGAACTTTAACGATTTTCTTCTGACACAATCATGGTTGGCCCAACAATATTGGTGTTATTTGAAAGCCCAATAAATATCCTTAAAGAAAAATACATTTAATTTCTTAATAAATGATTAAAATATACGATAAATGTGACTTGAAAAAATACCTCACTTTGGGCCCACCTATGGGATCAATTAGACCATCAGACCAGGAAACAGCTGGGAAGGGGTATCTTTGTTCAACAATAACGTCGAAACTAATAGACGTAGACTAATAAATTTACATTCGTTTTGTAGAATAGCTCAAATACTAAAATAATACAATGCAAATAAAACATACCTTAACGACCTGGTTTTTCTTGTGTTGGAAAATAACTGAAAAAGAAGTGAAAAAAGTAATGCATTTTTCTAATAAAATCCATTCTTACTCCCATAAAATGTATGAAACTTGTGTCTGCTTTCTTCTTCTACTAATAGATAATTTTATTGGCTATCGCATGATATAAAATATTTGCCTATTAATGTTAAGCTACCCACGCTTTCACTTGTTTTTTAAAGAAGAGGTGTAAACTAAAAATTAAAAACTTAAATCGATGTAATTTTTCGAGAAATGGGTCAGGCCCCAAATTTGAAGTATTTTCATCGATAAAATTGTCCATAGATTACGCCCTTAAAGTTTGATCACTACATGCCCGGACACACTGTATACAGGGTGGAAACGTTAAGTGATCTCACTCGATTATTTCTAAACTATAATAAGATATTGAAAAACTGGTAACTGATCCTGAAAGTACTTCATGAGCTCTTTCAAAGGGTACCAATAATAGGGTACAGAATAAACTGGATCTATCTGAAAATTCAATGTTTCCAGCTTCCATACTAAATGTTTGCCAGCCACACAATATTATAAGTGTAATAGGCTAGTTGCCTCATGTCACCATTTATCATAATAACTTTTAATTCAAATATTATTCTGTACAAGGGTCCGAAATATATAAACTTCAATAAATATAAATAAGGGATTGCTGTAAAAATTCAACTGAAACCCGTTAATTTTTTACTTTTTTTTCTCTTGACTGAAAACACCGTCCGCCATGTTTCTACGTCACCAATATTGTAAACAACAAAACGTCAAACACTAGTTTCAGGTTATTCGTGGTCTTTCATATAAACGCCTTGTTTTCACATAAAAATATTGTACAGTTCGCATTTATTGAAAATTATCATGGATCCTGAGTTTGTGAAAGCAGAAAGCACAAATCTGCTCAAAATCGACACATTGATGGTTGCAAAATTGTTTGCTTTAAATCCTGATTTCTGCTCAGCTAAGCTAAGGAATGTTAAGTTAACTAAGTAAGTACAGTTCATTTACAACCTNCCGTTTTATCAAATAATAAAAATAGTGGCAACTAGCCTATTTTTTTTATTTAATAATAAACTCAAAATAAACTCGTAAATTGTATTCTTATTTAAAATTATTAATGGAAAACATTGGTTTTAGGCTTTACTTGTTATAATATTGTCAAGAGATGAGTGTCATGACTGTGGTAGTACTAAATGTATGGAAGAAAGAAACATTTAATTTTTGGATAGATCCAGTTTATTCTGTAACCTATTATTGATACGGGACTATTCCCACCTCTCGTTCCCACCACTGCAACTCCTGTGTAGCCAGGATCTACAGCTTGACCACCACAAAAACCCAACCAATGAAGGTCAAGTTTGTCCCGGGGGAAAGTTAAACTGTCATTGGACCCGCAACGAAATTAATCAGAAGAACATAGGAGGAGTTCGAAATTAAGGTTCGACTTCCCTCCACCTACCTATTATTGATACCATTGGATAAAGCTTGTGAAGCACTTTTAGAATCAGTAATCAGTTTTACGATATCATGTGTAGTTTTTAAAATAATGTGACTTTACCAAATGTATGGAAGCTGGAAACATTGAATTTTCGGATAGATCCAGTTTATTCTGTAACCTATTTATTAATACCGTTTGATAGAGCTCATGAAGCACTTTCAGGATCAGTAACTAGTTTATTGATATCTTGTATAGTTTAGAAATAATCGATTGAGATCACTTATCGTTTCCACCCTGTATAAGTAAGTAATTTTAAATGGGTCATATATTGGACCTTCATGCTAAAAAAATAAACATGTGTTTTTCTCTTTGTAATTTGATGTAAAATATTTTGAGAGACGCCATTTGGACGCCATTTTTTAATTTGAATTTTGGGACAATTTTATTTTAGTTGCAAGGCAATATGGATTCATTGAAGGCTTCAGGTGATAATAATAAAACTTCCCCAAGATGTGTTCCAGAGAAAGATATAGCGCATGAAAAAGAAAATGTTCTTATGCCTGAAGCTGATGATTCCGAAGTGAAAGCGAACGAAGAGAAACCGAAGGATATAACTCCGCAAATGATCGAAGAAAACGAGTTGAAGTTGAAAGACAGAATTGCTCAATGTCGCAATATTATTGAGTCTCTAAAAATGGAACTGAGTAAAGAGAAATCTAAATTAGAAAAACAGGCGAAAATGCCACAACTGCCTTCAGTGTCCGGCTCGGTGCCAGTGTATCATGACCTGAAGTGCGACGTGGATATTATGGGAGATATCAACTCTACGAGTATGTACAGCGCATGTGTTGATAGCAAACTGAATTGCGATGAAAGTCTTATTGAATATGAAAAGCAGTTGCAGAAATATCAAAACACGCTGAATATGGCTCAAATAGAAAAGAAAAACGCAATAAGAAAGCAAATGTTGGCGAAAGCCTACAAGCTGAAGTTATTAGAAGTCGAAAACCAATGTAACATTGAATTGCTACGAGTAAAGCAGAGTCTTCAATGTCTAGAGCCACTGCAAATGATAGCTAATAATTGGAAGAACTCGCCGAACGATTCTGCCTATGACTTGAATAATTACGAGCTGATCCCAAGATACCCGGAGTTAAACGCTCATTCGGGAAGTGATATCAATTCTTACAGAGACGATTGTGACAAGCCTTCACCTGACAAATCGGGGATTTGCTGTAAAGAGGATTCGTCATCTTCGGAATGTTGATTAAATTTTGATACCTATCACGCGAAAAGTTTATTGGAAATTAAAATGAAAAATTTATTGCGACATTGTGTTTCTTTACAGCTAGAGCTTTTCCACATTCACCGCCCGCTTTTTTCACTGATTTGAAATCGTAATCTGATTCAGTAACTGTAGGAGGGTAGGCACACCTTTTTACCGTTCAGTTATCCTACTGCTGTACCCTCTGTTACAACTAGGAGTTTCTATAATAGCAAACCAGTAAATGTAGAGACCTTTCATAACTCTATCTTCTTAGATGTAGAGACCTTCATAACTTTATCTTCCTAAGTTGCTTAAAAGCTAAAGGAGGTACTACATCAGAAACATAATAATAATGCATCACTAATGAAGAAGAAATCCGTAGAGTTACTAGATTGGCCGGCTACTTACCTACCAAGTTCTTTTCACAAGTTAAATCGGTTTTGCCCTTCCGATTCAGTCCCTTAAAGCTAAACCAAGTCAAATAAAATTTGCAATAAAATTAATTAGCCAAAAAACAGTGTGAAAATTTGTTTTAATAAATCAAAAGGCGACGAGGACCTCCACAGTGGACCACACACATCGAGGCACGCGCTTTGAATGCTTGAGACTTTTTATTTTCGCCGCCGGAGCACCGATCGCGTTCACTCGGCAATCGTCGGCACCCGGTCGGTAGGCCCGCGCTGACATCACACACGTCTGCCAGCGCCAGCGCAGCACCCATCGCGGTCATTTAGGAACTTGAACTTTATTTTAATAAGATTCCAATTTGTCAATTAGAGGGCAGTGCATGAACCAAACAGGTTTGACTTCTTTACACCTTGTTCATGAGTTTAGCTTTTAAAAAGTACTTGAAAGCTATGCGTTAGTATTCTAGCTATAGGCAAGCACACACGCGAGTTGTTTTTATTAGTGATTAGTTTTCGTTACATATGTAAATGGAAAAGTAGGTTACGGAAAAAAACTGAAAACTAAAAAGCTTCGGTTGAAAGTTTGTGGTAGGTTCCACGATGTTGGAGCTTATAAGTTTTGTAATTTGTAAGCTAAAAGTTCCGCGGTTTCGCTTTGAGTATGCAAAAATGTCAGACACAATAGAGATAAGTCGTTCTTATGAAGTTTGTCTATTTTTTCGAAGATACTTGCATATCTACAATAAATTAGTAAGGTAGTTATCCCTTAATTACTAGTTCTTATAGCACTTTGTGGTATGTTAAAATCTTATAATTTTCTAAAATTAGGCTGATAGTTATGTGAAGTACTTATACCTAACTTAATGACTTCAGTTTCAGAAATCACCAACATTTTGCGCTACAGACAAATTGTCATGCTCGAGCTTTGGTTTTAAATGAATATAGGCGACTTCCAAATTCGATTGAAGCACACTAAATTAAATACTTCAAACAAATGTAGGTACGTATGTACATACACCCTACCCGTGTTTGTTTGCGGAAAGATCTCTTCATCCATGGCGTGGGGCGACACGCATCCGCGTGTGAACTCGAGAGCTTTATGGAAGAGTAAACAGTTTAAAACACTAGAGGCGGGCGTATTGGTCCAGCACTTGCATCCATTAGCCTGTGCCGACACCTCGGACAAAAATGTTGCCAGGTACGAGCCGTCTTTTCCTGTATTTTTTACTTTAAAAATACCTTGGAAGTTTTGCCTAGATGCAGCTCCTCCCTGCAGGTTTTTACAAAAAAGAAGCGCAGAAACTTTTTATGAGCTTTTAGTGTCTTTGATATTGACTCACAAAATTTGGTAATATTGAAATCTTTTATAGGGTTCCAAACACGCATTAAGTATTAAAGGTCATCATGATTCACTCGGTTCACTGATCATCGTTGTTTGAAAAAAAAGGTATCGAAGATTTTTCCTCTCTATAACAATACCATACCCTATCTACAAGTTTCGTGTGCCACTCCGGGTCGAATGCTGCTCTTTACAGATTAAAAGTAGCTGAAAAAAAATGATTAAGACTCCAGATTTCCAGAAAATATGCGTGGTGACTCTGGCAACTCTACCTCGGTCAGTCTTTGTCGAAAATTATGTTTGCTCGGCTGCCGGCCGGAGGTGCGACGCGACACCAACACTTGGTACAGTTTATTTTACCGGAGAGCTTGGTAATCGGCTTGTCTACGCGGACGACAGACTGACCACGTAGCTCCCGGCTGGATAATCTACCCCTATTCAACAAAAGGCTTGAGTATTTTTTTAAATAAAAAGTTAAGGAAAAATTACGCGGTTTTAGTGAAAATTATTTTTCCAGGATAACATTAGATACCTACCTAAGTTGGTACCTACTTTTGTATAATAGCTAAAAATACATATCATGAATTTGCGGATTGTATAGTAATGACTGTTCGACCTAATTATGACTGTATAGTGAGTGATAAATTAATGTATGACGCCCGTAATTATTTAGTGAGTAGGTATCACATGTCACCATTAATAGGTAACTTTTATTTCACATATTTAACTAGCTAACTAACTCTTCGTCGAACAACTAGGTAATAGTTTAAAACCGAATTTTCTTATAAAATAGGTACTTAATTTAGTTTTTTTTTTCACGCAATTCTTTAATTTTTTTTCAGTTCAAAGGTTTAACTGTCGAGAATACCAATGGTAGGTATGTTCATTGTCTTTTTTCCAACATTTCTCGTGCAATAAAGTTTAAAACAGATCGAAAAAGGGAAATAATAAACTCATTATCTTGCCATAAAAATGTTGGTCATCGAGGTTTGAAATTCACAACGGATATTTGCTTTCGTACATTCCAGGACGTAGTAATCCCTTCTGACATCCTTTTGAGAGTTATGAATGAGTCGGTAAAGCCACGAATTATACAACAATAGTGGTTTATTGGGTTAGTTTATTGTGTGTAAGCGGCATTATGTTGCTGGTCAGCGGTCGTCTCCACGAGGGCTGGCGCCAGGAGGTGTAATAAACTAGGTACACTAATAATTGCAGGATACAATGTCTGGTGCTGAAGGTGTGACGGAATGCCTACCACTACCTGTTTTTGAAATGTACATTATAGTCATGTACTCGTATTAAACCTACTTAATTTTAAGCTCAATGACAATGACTCTACATTTTCATAACATCGTAGCGAATTATTTATTACATACACGTGGTTATTCGTACTCATAGTAAGACAGTACAACATAACATTTACTACTCCTTTTTTTGCTCTACCTACTCCCGTAAAGTGCCCGTTTTCATGGTCCTGCACAGAATCCTTAAAATTGTCATATTTTTAAATCACGAGTGCTCTGCGATTAGTGACTTAAATACGTCAAAGTAACTTGTGTAGGGTAGCCCAATCCTTGATCTAGGTCGCCGCCTTTTCGAAATTTTGAATAAATACGTAAAAAATTGATAAACAACATTTAAAATGCAGACATATGGAAAATTTATTTCTTCGAGAACTTTGTTAATTTAACGTATGAAGCAATAATTTTTATATGGAAATGTTTAAATTAATATTTTGAAGGTCGCCCCCTTTTTCGTTTTTGGTATTAATGCATTAATATTGAGAATTTTTGATTTTCCCAAAAAAACTTTGCCGTGAAGAAATCATCAGGCGTTTTGCTTTATCGTAGCTGTCAAGTGTCAAATGTGTGTTTGTCAATCCTTTACAGAGTAGTGTAGAGCGCAGAGCATGCAAATAGTATCTCTTTTGTTATGACTTCGATTGTTACGAAAAAATATTTTACTTATTTTATAGTTAATATGGCTAGAAAACCCTTGCAACCTTTCTTTGCCGTTCGTTCGTTTCAGCCGAAAGACGTCCACTGCTGGACAAAGGCCTCCCCCAAGGATTTCCACAAAGACCGGTACCACGCCGCTCGCATCCAGGTACCACCCGCGACCTTCACCAGATCGTCGGTCCACTTATATTTTATCGAATCAATATAAAACTAGATTTTTAACACTCTTGCGGGTAAGTGGTTTTTCAAAATAAACTGATTAGGTAGGATTAAATAAATAAATCGATAACATTTTTATTTAGAGTAGTAGGTACGCAGTATTTGCGTAACTGCTCATATAGTTTGGAAGAGTTTAGTAAAAAAAAGTTATTTCCAAACTATACTCGATTAGTTTCACACCCTTGCGTTCTGGCCATGTATAGAATGGAAAGACGCTACGTTAACAGCCTATTTGAATTGAACGTCTAGGAAAAATACTCTTTTACGAAACTTTTTTAACGCCTTTGTTCATCAGAAGAATCAATATTAGTTAGGATTTTTATTGTGTAAGAATTTTCGCAGCAATACCAACAAAAAATCAAATCCTTCCTTTTTCCTAATTAAAGTATTATAAACTCACGTTTTGTTTAGCAAAATTAGTGAAATGCGTGTTTTTACTCTGTATTGAGTCTCTTTTGTCTCTACTCTGTAAAGTAGTTTGTGTGCGATCGTGTTAGTTCGTTGCGCCACCGCTATCTCGGCTAGCAAATCGTAATTTTTCGTCGGCGCTGCACCCCCTTTTTTCCTCATAGAGTTTTCGTCATAGAGATACCTAATAGGCACTTAAATTTGTAATAAACAGTAAATTATATCCTTATCACTATCTAATTTAAAAATGTTACAACATTTCTATGCTGGTTGATAAGCAGGTAATAAGCAAAAACCGTGCGTGAGTCACAAAGCTCGTTTCGGTGGCTAAGACTAAAAATTGCATGAAAAATCATCTTATCTGCAGTTTAAAGCTTTGTGTTAAACGCGAGATCCTTTCCACCCTTTGTGCCCAATTCCGATTCACACGGAACCCTTCGAAGATCTCATTAACGAAGATAAGGAGTGTGAACTTGTTTTCGCACGTTTGAAAATAAATATTAGAACTATTCCATACTTTTTATGTTGTCATTAATATTTGGAATTTCTATTCTAATACTTTCGAGAAGGTTACTTTCGAGATAACCAACAGTCTTAAAACACATTTTTATTAATAGGTCGCGTCGGCGAACGCAAACAAAGCGTGTTAAAGCGCGGCTAGTATGACTTATGGGGAGTTTATGCAGCACAGAATTTTATTGTATTGATGTACGAGTTGGTGTTGCTTACAAATCGTCCTAAATAGGCCGTTTCTGTTATGCAAATGCGCGTATAAATTTTCCTACTAAAGAAGCCTTTTCCGGGTCAAAACTCGTGGAGAATGCGAGCGCTTGGTATTGTCTTGTTTCGGGAATGGATGGAGGTCGAGATATTGTTTTTGTCCAGAAGCTCTACTACGATAGCACGTGCAAGTCTGATGACCCGACCTTCGGTTAC